TTAATTTCATAACCACTTTGCTTCTCAACAAAAGCCTTAAACTGTTTGAAAACATCACATGCTTCAGACTTTTGCTTTAGAAAGTAAACCCATGTTTTCCTACTGAAATCATCAATGAAAGTAATAAAGTACTTACAACCTCCATGTGAGGGAACCTCCAACAAACACAGGTCTGAGTGAATAATCTCCAACTGTTTTGTAGCTCTCCTTAACTTGCCCACGGGAAAGGGATCCCTATGCTTTTTCCCCATCACACAAATCTCACAGATACGATCAGGGACATTCACAATAGGTAAATCAGAAACAAGTTCCTTTCTCACAAGATAGTTTAATCCAGAGAAATGAAAATGCCCAAACCGCATATGCCATAACCAATTATCATCGCAAACTTCATAATTAAAGCAAGCAATGAGAGTATGCTTAATTTTCAAAGGAAATAGTCGATTTTGGGACATATTTACCTTTGCAATCAAAACTCCTTTAGCATCTGCAATGGTACAACACCCCTGAGCAATATGTATCTTATATCCATTTTCTAACTGACCCATACTCAACAAATTTTCGTGTAGTTCAGGAACATAGAACACATCGGATATAAAATTGCGAGTACCATCCTTCAACTGAATAGAGATTTTACCTTTTCCCAAAATTAGCACTTTTGACTTATTTCCAAATGTCACTTCAGGCCGGACTAATTCATCCAGTTCAGAAAACAATTCTTTCTTCCCACACATATGGTTACTACACCCAGTATCCAAGAACCATATGTTCTTATCTGCAGAAAAACTATTGATGGCCAAAAGTAATGTTTCAGAACTCTCACCAGAATTTTCAGCAGTGTTTTCACCAATGTTTGCTTGATTTCCACGATTGTCCGACTTTTTACCCATTTTGGTCCCTTGACTATGACTCATTCTCAATTTTGCATTTCGACTTTCAATTGCACCCAATGTGGTCCATTGACTTTTAAAAATTATCCGAAATTGGTCATCCGTTAGGTTTTGCGTCAATTGACTGTAAAATGTGGGGGTATTTCAGTCAATTCACCCCAATATTAATGTTATTGTGGAATTTTCCCAATTTCATCGCCACCGAAGTAATCCAACCGCCACCGACGGTAAGCTCACTGGAAAAACTGAAGATCTCCGACATCCACCACAGCCTCACCAACCACATCCACCACCGCAACTACCGTACCTCTACCTCCGTCACTGCCATCATAAAAAAGACATCAGAATAGGCAAAATTGATGAAATTATAAAGAAGCTCAAAAAGAAAAAGGCAAAATTGGCGAAATTATAAAGAATATCAGAAAGAAAAAAGGCAAAATTGATGAAATTATAAAGAAGCTTAGAAAGAAAAAGGCAAAATTGATGAAATTATAAAGAAGCTCAGAAAGAAAAGACATCAAATAGGAAAAATTGATGAAATTATAAAGAAGCTCAGAAAGAAAAGACATCAAACAGACAAAATTGATGGAATTATAAAGAAGCTCAGAAAGAATGGTGAGCAACCACCATCATCCCCGCTCGCTGCCTCGCCGGTGATTGGTATGTATTAGTTCCTCCGTCGTGACTACCGCTGCTTCAAACCCTCTCAGGAATCTCAGACCCAGTCGCGACTGCCATCTCTCGCTATCTCCTTAGCGCGGTGACCGCCGTCGGCCCGGGCGAAGAACCCAACCAGGCGATCCGGATTGGATTTCCAGACGTTGAAGGCGAAGTTGATGGACTCGATATTGGGGTCGACTAGGGTTTGGCTTGAAGTGGAGGGGTTGCTCCAGAGAATAATCACGGAAGAGACAGAGTTTGTGGCGGCAGAGTATGTAGCGCCGATGGAATGGAGTAGTGGAATCCGATGCTCAGGGTGTTGATCAGAAAAGTCGCCCACAAAGCCCTAGAATAGTCATTTAGTGTGAATTGACTGAAATACCCCCACATTTAACAGTCAGTTGACGCAAAACCTAATGGAGGACCAATTTGAGATAATTTTTAAAAGTCAAGGGACCACATTGGGTGCAATTGAAAGTCGAAATGCAAAATTGAGAATGAGTCATAGTCAAGGGACCAAAATGGGTAAAAACTCCGATTGTCCTCATTATACCACTAATCTGCAATCTTGTGTCCATATTTGCCACAATTGTAGCAAGGAAATGGAAATTTACCTTGTTTGGTATTACCTCCACCTCTTCCCTGGTTGGAGTTACCACGTCCTCCTCCTTGGTTGAAGTTACCACGACCTCTTCCACTAGAACCTCCTCTTCCTCTTCCACGACCTATACCAGATCCTCCACCTCTTTGATTAGTGCCAGTCACATTAAGGGTGACTTGACTCTTAAAAGCTTCTTCTGCTAGTGGTTCCGATTTTGACGCAATCCTGTCAATATGACTTTCTACCATACCTTTCAGCTCTGCAATTGATAAGAGCTCAGTTTTGTGTGACTCTGTGATCGAAGCCACCACATGGTCATACTTCATCTGCATAGTTCGAAGAACTTTTTCAACCACTGAACCATTTTCAATCGTATCTTCGTATAACCTCATCTTATTCACCATATCAATAAGACGAGTGAAATACGCATCTACTATTTCGTAGAGGTTATCTCACAATTATCGTACAACCTTCTCAACGACTGCAACTTAGACTTCAGTGCCCGATCGACTCATTTGTTTGACACCTTTAAGATGTCCCATGCTTGCTTTGCTGTTTGACACGAGCTAATTGCCCAAAAATGGAGTAATGAACACCTTGGTGAATCTGACCTAAAGCCAACTGATCTCATCGTGTTTGGGCTGCATCTGCTCCTTCGGGTAGACCGGGATCAACAAAGCTCCAAAGATTTTGAGCTTTCAAATGTGTGGACATCATAATTTGCCAATAATTGTAATCGAGTTTCCCGTCCAATTTGGGACCCGACCATACAATATTGAAATTTGAAGTCATATTTCACTACGAATAATATCTCGGGATTGAAAGGTTGACTGGCTCTGATACCAAATGTAAGATATATTAAATATAATATATTTAATATAATATATATTAAATATAATATAATATATCTATAATATATATTAAATATAATATATTTATATATTATATTTATATATATTGAGAAGAGAGAGAGGGGAATAGATAAGTGATTTGATTGATGATTATGAATAAACAAAAGTCACATATTTATAGTGAAAGAGAAAAGCAACAATGCTAAAGTTTAGGAAGTAATTAGAGGCCATGATTCCATGTACTCCATTTCCACGTAGTGCTATGCATGCATCCACATTCACACACCTCCTTTTATTTTTTAACAAATTAACTGCTAACTACTTGGTTTAATATTACTAATAATAATAATAATATCATTATTATTATTATAACAGATGGGTATGTATATATCTGTGTGTGTATGATAACGAAGAATGAAAGATGAGAACAGTGATGAATTGAACGAAAATACAGATGAAGAAAAAAAGCGATGGTGGACTTAGCTTGCAAGTTGTATGTCAGGGAAGTCAAGCTGATAAGATAATAAGCATTTCTTTATTGGTTTGGACAACATTTTCTAAACGAAGACTTTGAAAGTTCTTTTGTGGGCTCATTTCTCACAGTTGATTTTACTTAAAAACATGATTGAAAAAATCATCGCTAGTCGCCCTTTGGACGGTCGGGTGTCTAAATATAATAATAATAATAATAATAATAATAATAATAATAATTATTATTATTATTATTATTATAAATTAGTTTTGTAGCACTCTATTTAGTTACATATGAAAACGAATTAGCAAGGAAGAGATTTAAAATAAAACGATAATTATTCCATTAATTAGAATTTGCTTTTGTTTATTTTGTGCTGGCCTACGAGATCGAGTACTATGTAGTTAGCGATAAATGAATTTGAGAGAGTACGGTTAAACATTAATCAAGTTCAAAGCGGATTTGAATTTAGATAATTTTATATGAATGGATAGCTTTTTTTTTTGAAATATATGAATGGATACCTAATTCATTGCTACCCATAATCAATTAATTGGTCATATCATCATTAGAAAATGGTGTGCTGGTAAACGGTCGCATTTTATAAAGCAAAACTTTTTTTTTTTTTTTTTAATTCCTATTTATAATTTTCTTTCTTCCAATTCTTGCCCTCTATTTTCCACCAATGCATCCAAAACACCTTATAAGCTAGAACACTAATGGAGATTGGAGACTAATCAAGTCAACCATCTTGGAATATAGCGAATTCTTTTTTCGACCAACGCATGAGGGAAAATGGAATTGAAATTCTATGGAAAAACAATTATTATGAAGATTGATTCTATTGTTTGATCGGTGGAAAATAAAGAGTTAATCACCATTTGGCCCTTATTTGATTCCCAATCCTTAATGTAGTCTCTAGTTTTCAATTTCAACCAATTTGATCATTGAATTATTTAAAATTTCGCCAGTTAAACTCTTTCAAGGATCACAATGGTGATTTTCACATTTTTAAAATTTCGTCAATTTGGTCCCTGGAATGGTTTAATTGACGAAATTTTTAACAATTCAGATATCAAATTTACTGAAATTGAAAACTATGAACTACATTGAAAGTTGAGAAACAGTTGAAGGACCAAAATGGTGATTTCCCCGAAAATAAATTATTAAGAATTTTGATTCCATTGTTTGGTTGGATTTGAAATTGTACCGGATAAATGAGTATAAAGGCCTATATGCCCTATACAATAATAATGATAAGACTGAATTCCATTTTTGGACCTACTGTTATAGGGGCGTTTCTAATTTTAGTCGACCTTAATTTTTTTTGCCACATTGCGACCACTGTTATTGAATGTGTTTCTACTTTTAGTCCACCGTTAATATTTCCGTCAGTTGCCCATTTAATCCACGGATATTTTGGTATTTCCACCTTTGTCTCTTCTCCTTTAAGCTTTTCACTGGTTTCCATTTTCCTTTCTCAGCCAATTTGTAATAGTGGCCGGCGTGACCTTGTAAATCAAGAATCTTTAACATAACATTACATTAGCAAGAACAAAGCATGCCATGGAAAAAGGAATGCTAGCAGGAATCTATGGCAACATACAATTTAGGGGAGAAGAAAAAAAAATTGAGTGAGAAATTGAAACCCAAAGAAAGGGGGAAAAACAAAAAGCTAATTAAGAACATCAAAATAGAGAACCCATCGTAATAATCAATGAAAATGAGCAATTGAGCGAATTACCTGAAGCGGAGAGAGGAACTCGGGTGAATTGAGCAACCTGGAAGGACTTAACCCCAGCGGGACAACTATCAACAATAGCGAAAGAACAGCCCCTACCAAGCTCACTGGTCGATTCTGCTTATACCTGGATTGTTTCTCACTCCCCGCCCTAGAACTTGCCTTTTGCGATGAGCTATCCTCCAAAAGACTATGTTTCGCGAGTGGGGAAGCCATGGCGCCGGTCAGCAGCTAGGAGAAAGAGCAGCCATCGAAATAGAGAATCCATCGTAATAATTAATGAAATTGAGCAATTGAGCAAATTACATGAAGCGGAAAGAGGAACCCGGGTGAATTGAGCAACCCGGAAGGACTTAACCCCGACGGGACAACTAAGAGCAACGAAAGAGCAGCCCCTGCCAAGCTCACCAGCCGATTCTGCTTATACCCGGATCATTTCTCACTACCCCACCCAGAACTCGCCTTCTTCGATGAGCTATCCTCCAAAAGACTGGGTTTCGCTAGTGGGAAAGCCATGGTGCCGGCCAGCAACTGGGAGAAAGAGCAGCCATCGGACTCTCTGATCGTCCATGCAACAGTTGGGTCGCCGGTAAATCCACCATCGCCGAAATCTGGGTCCGATCGCGAGAGTTCTTAGACCCCGACCGATCACCAATTGGACCACCAAATATCATTCCTGCCTCATCCCCAACACCATCCACATAATCTAAAGCTTGATCGGACGGTTAGACGACCAGCAGGGCCGCCAATGATGAGACCAGAGGTTGGTCGCGATTGTTCGCAGAAGGAGTTCGATTGCTCAATTGTTGAGGGCGATGTTGGAGTGTAATCAATTGTGTTTATTCAACGTAAAACACAATGCTTAAATACGCCCCCGCAAGATTGATGCTCCGTCAGTGAGCCCAAGCTTGGACCTAAACACAGCAAACAAATGAGAACCAAGAGGCTTAGTAAGGAGGTCAACCACCTATTCAGCGGAACGAACATAGCCGACACATAGGACACCAGAAGTAACCTGTTCACAGACAAAAAAATAGTCAAGCGCCAAGTGCTTCATCCTAGAGTGAAACACTGGATTTTTGCACACATAAGTGGCACTTAAATTATCCGTTATGAAGCAGGGAGTAGACCGTAGATAAAAACCAAGCTCCCGCAACAGACTCTCGACCCACATTACTTCAGCAGCAGAATTAGCAAGAGCCCGGAACTCGGCTTCCGTGGACGACCGAGACATTGATCGTTGTTTAGAAGACTTCCAGGAAATGAGGTTGGAGCAAAAAAGAAAAAAAAAAACACAATAGGCCGTGGTTGATCGCCCCTCGTCACGAATACCACCCTAGTCGGAGTCTGAATATGTCACCAGCGAGAGTGGGCAACCACGCCGGAAATGAAGGCCAAAATGCAACGTACCCTTCAAGTAGCGCATGACTCGCTTCACAGCTTGCCAATGACTCTCAGTCGGTGAGTCCATAGATTGAGCCAAAAGATTATGTGACACCCCGTAAATCCAAACACTAATCAAGGATTAATTGAAGAATTAATCTAAGCCTCTTTGCTAATCTATTCCTAAAAATCCTGAAATTTAATAGTCGAGGGACTAGATTTTGACTAGTCACTTAAGTCAAAGGGTTGTACCTTGTGCTTCTTGAATTGTGCCCCTGTTCCCTTGTCTTTCCAACATTAGTTAGGGTAGGAATGTCTTTCTACCTAAGGTTTGTGATTCAAGCTAACCTAGCAATATTCTTTCATTTCATTCACCCTTCAATCTAAAACACAAAATCCTCTAGTCTCTCTCTAAAATGGTTTAGCTTCTTCTCCAAGCTAGAATTTGAGCATCCAAGTCTTGCAAGATTGTCTCCCAAGATTCCTACTTTCTTCATCTTGAGCATAGGGGAGGGTAAGATCCTTGGCCTTTTGGTGTTTTTAACCTTCTTTTAGGTGTCTTTTTCTAAAGATAGGATCTTTGTTGTGTTTTGGTTTGTGTATGAAGTTGGTGTGGAAGAGGAGCTCTAGGAAAGGCTTTTAAGGGTGAAAATGGAAAGTTGTTAGGCTACAAAGGTAACCTATGCTTTACAAAACCTATTTTCTTACTTATATGATGATTTCTTGGCTTCTACTTGTGATTCTTGTGTTGATTTGTAAGATTTGATGCATTGTCTTGTGGTGATGCATGTTTAGAGCTTGTTCTTAGGGTTCTTGAATGCTATTGCTTGGCTATTTCTTGGGTTCAAGTCATATTGTTGTTGTGTGTGAGATTTTGGGTGTTTTGGACTTGAACTTGGAATTTTTGTTGAAAATTCCCGAAGGGATAATTTTGGTGTACAGGTGGTACCCGCGGGCGGAACGAAGGGCAGAAGACTACCCGCCGCCCCACCCGCGGGGTACGTGGCCTGTGACACCCCGTAAATCCAAACCCTAATCAAGGATTAATTAGAGAATTAATCCTAGTCTCCTTGTTAATTTATTCCTAAAAATCCTGAAAATTCAATAGTCGAACGACTAGAGTTTGACTAGTCATTCAAGGTCAAAGGGTTGTACCTTATGTTTTTTGGGTTGTTCCCCTGTTTCCTTATTCTTCCAACTTTAGTAAGGGCAAAGGTGTCTTTCTACCTAAGGTTTGTGCTTCAAGCTAACCTAGCAACATCTCTTCATTTCATTCACCAACAATCTAAACACAAAATCTCTAACTTCTCTCTAAGAAGTGGTAGCTTCTTCTCCAAGCCAAAATTTGGGCATCCTAAATCTTGCAGGTTGTCTTCCAAGATTCCTACTTTTCTAATCTTGAGCATAGGGGAGGGTAAGATCCTTGATCTTTTGGTGTTTTTAACATCTTTTTAGATGTCTTTTTCTAAAAATAGAATATTTGTTGTCTTTTGGTTTGTTTATGAAGTTGGTGTGGAAGAAGAGCTTTAGGAGAGGCTTTCTAAGGGTGAGAAAGTGAAGTTTTAGGCTACAAAGGTAACCCATGCTTTACAAAACCTATATTCTTACTTATATGATGATTCTTGGCTTCTACTTGTGATTCTTGTGTTGATTTGTGAGGTTTGATGCATTGTCTTGTGGTGATGCATGTTTAGAGCTTGTTCTTAGGGTTCTTGAATGCCATTGCTTGGCTATTTCTTGGGTTCAAGTCATATTGTTGTTTTGTGTGAGATTTTGGGTGTCTTGGACTTGAATTTGGACTTGTTGAAAATCCCCGAAGGGATTATGTTGGTGTACAGGGTGTACCCGCGGGCGGAACGGCGGGCAGGGCACCACCCGCCGCTCCACCCGCAGGGTACATGTGTCTTGTGGGCTTGGTACCTGCGGGCGGAACTGTGGGTGGTTGTCCACCCGTGGCCCCACCCGCGGGGAACATGGTTGGTGATGTGCAGGGATTTGTTCCCCGTGATTCTCTTGACTCGGTATTGATGTTTTGACCTCCCGATGTTGTTTTATTGGGATATTTGTGAGTCTTCTTGATGTTTCGTATGTCTAGAACGGTATGTTAGGAATCCATGTAGGATTTTGTGTCTTGTATCGTGCTAAGGGTCCGACTTTGTGATTCGTTGGACTATTGTTAGTCTTGAATGTTCTATGGAACTACTTTTGGTTTACCCGTTTGATAAGCATGCTAGTTTGATGTTGAAATGCTAGTATGTGCGGTTTGTTCTTTCTTAATGGGATTGGCAACTTGTGTTGACCATCGTTTGGTGTCGGATTGAGATCCTTTGCTGTTGAGTATGGTTTCATATCTTTGTTGTGATCCATTGATTGATTCCTATGATATGAACGTATGTAATCGTTGTACCCGTTGATTGATACTTGATTAAGGTTATTGTGGAACCTTAGTCTTCTTGGTAATGATGATGACTTATGTGACTATGATTTAATGTGGGTGGTTGTTACTTGAGCTTTGCTTACATGTAGGTGGTTGTGTGAATGAAATGAACACTACAAGAAAAATCCCGATTCGCGACGAAAAAATTCTGTCGTGAAAACGCCAAATTCCGTCGCAAAACGCAATTTGCGACGGAATTTTACATTTTCGCGACGGAATCCATTCCGTAGTGTCAAGGCTTGTCGTATTTCATTTCGCGACGGATTATTTTCGTCGTGAGCAGTGGCGACGGAAAATGGTGACAGAATTTTTCGTCGCAAAGTAAGCGACGGAAACCATTCTGTCGCAAGTCCGTCGCAGTTTTGGCAACGAAAATGTTTGTTTTGTCGCCATCGCGTGAAAAAAATACTCCGTCGTGGAATTCATATTCCGTTGCATATTTCTGTCGTGAAATATAACGACGGAAATAATTATTTTCGCAATTCCGTTGCTAACATTTTCGTTGAAAATTTTCTATTCCGTCATAAAATTCTGTGGTAAAAAAATGACGGAACAAATTGTCGTCGTGATTCCGTCGCTAACGTTTCTTTGCGAATTTTATCTTCCATCGCAAAATTTCATCGTTAGAAAACGACGGAACAAATTTCCGTAGTGATTCCATCGCTCGATATTCCGTTGCAAAGTTTGTTTTCCGTCATAAAATTTCGTTATACAAAAAATAACGAAACTATTCACTACCATGATTCCGTCGCATCGTTAAAATCATATTTTATCGCAATTCTACTAAATTATTATTTTTTAAATATTTTTAAATTATTCTTATTTTTTAAAATTCTAATAGTTGTATTTAAAATATTAATATGCAAACTAAAATATAATATAATTTGTTATATAAAAGTGATACTATTTGTTGTTAAAAAAATTAAACGTTATACTTAATACCAAATTCATGTAAAAACAACAATATAGTAATCCATAAAAGAAAAATCAATATCAAATTCAATTCGATTATAATTTTTTCTAACTATCTTTGGAATTCCAAACATCATTCTACTTAGCCCATATTTCGTATGATATAGAGAGGTCTTGGCTTGTTCTTCATTCTGCTTATATAATCAACATATCTTCTTTTTAGCAGCACTCCGATCAAAATACTTCTACAATACACAATATAAATAATATTAATTAAGCAGGGAAAACACAAACTAATCAAACAATAAAAACGAGTATCGTTCAGCAAAAAAAAAAAAAAAAAAAAAGTGCAATCTTTTTGTTTTTATCAAATGGTAGAATTGCCCTTAATAAAATCCCTACCATGCGGGAAGATCTGTCACACACAGCATGGTGCATAAGAATTCCTGCAGATACTGAAACATTGAAGGAGTCTACCATGTCTTTCATTGGAATATGCAGTCTGAGAATTCAAGATCCTCATTGCTTATTCCCCTGCAATTACAATTTCATTTACCATATTGCAGCTTGATTTGAGACATCTGGAAAAGAGCATAACCTACTCAAGATTAGTAAACTCATAGGATTCAAGAACAAAGTTCTTAAAATTATATGTTTCAGAACCAAAATATGTTAATTTAGCGTCACATATATATGACAAAAATAAGGTCATGACGGTTAACAATATCACCCAAATATACCGGGCAAAATGTTTCTCAGAAACTGATCCCAGTGAACTGCATACACTAAAGTAGGGAATTAAGATTACCTATTCTCATTTCCAACAACTGCAGTAGGGCATGACTAGTCCATATCGTATACTGAGACCTATAGAGCATGAAAATTGATTACAAAAAGACATGTGCAGACATACAATATATATACATCCATTCCATTATAAGGAAATTCTGTCCATAGTACAAAACATGATTGAAAAAGAACTATATAAAAATACTAGATAGATCAAACTAAAAGACCGTAACTTTAGCCAAAGCATGAATTGTATAATTTGCTGATCTCGAAATATGACAAATAGACACTAAACTTAAAGAACATATAAAACTATTTCTATTTTTATTT